AATGGTAGCCTACAAAATATGTCTGTACATATTTATTGTTAGGTAATGCCGTAAGCTAAACATATTTAAGTACCTATTAGAACTATTACATTCTATTCTAAATTTTCACATCTTTCCTTATGACGATGTCAGTTACGTAGATGAAAATCCATGTTGGAATTATGTCTTTGTGTATTTTATTTTGCAAATTTAATGATTTGGTTGTACATACTGTAAGCTTAAATTTTATAAAAAAATTAATATGTGCTTTATGCATTGGTAACAAGTGAAAACTTTCAGAAAACATGTAACATCTAATCTAATGAAAAAATAATAACCTATGTACATAATTCGAAAATGGGGGTACCTAACATACAGTATTGTTATATATCTTCGTCAGGCAATTTAATAAATTATAAATTTAGAGAAATTAAGAAGAATATCCCTAAAACGTTCTAAAGACGTCTTTTAAAAACCTGTCTACTAATCGCTATGATGAGAACTTGTAAGTATTCAGTGGCAGAACTAGCTTCTAACACAGAGGTTAGCCATTGATATGCAGTCAGAACCTACCAAAAGATTATATTTCAATACCTACTTCAAATAGTACGTACTAGCCGCAGCCCAAGGAAGGACTTGACCTCAATGATCCCCTGAATCCGCCCTTTTAAGTATCAGGTATTACATCCGTAATGCGCAATATTCTGAGAAATACTCGACAGGAAATGATCAAATCCTTTCCAAGGAACCTCAATAATCCTATTGTTAGTAAGTATTCAACAAACGTATCACCAGCTACGCCACCAGTAGGTTGTATGGTGCGGCCTTCACTAACGAGAATTAAACTTTAAATAATTCATATTTCAAACTAGTTGGACACGCGATTCACTGCCATAGATAATAATTTTAAGTAAGAAGACAATCACTTATTATGGTAGTTTTGAGGTCACTGCTATAATATGAATGACTATATAGTCAGTATAGCCAGAAAGACTCAACCATTTGAAGAAAATCATCTGATCACTAATTAAGTATCTTTTAGTGCAATGTTCTGAAATATCAAAGTTATTCTACAAGTTTTATCGGCCCACAAATCACAATTTTTTACTCTTGTGCGTTGTCGTTTTGCTATAAATGAAACTGTATTTATTATATTTCTAATAATGTGTACCCTGGGACCTGTTTTTAGTTTTCGTCTGAACGTTGGATAGCATCGAAACTTGTAAAAGAGTTATAGCTATATTATAGCATCGCATTCAACATGTATGACCAGAGCAGTAGCGATAAAAAACATCAAACTGCAACGCATTTAAAATAGTTAGTAGGAACCTACATAGACAATATGAAGCCCCGTTTTAGATTTGTAGGCCATGCAGGCCTTGTGTTCATAAAATTAAGGTCAGATATCTGATAATAAAAATAAACTAGATTATCGTGTCCTTCGGAGCGATTTGACGTCATAGGTAATTGTGTAAGAATCGATTTCGAAGGCCTTCCCGAGGACACACTAAAAGTGCCAGCAACGTGTCATGGATTTTTGTTAATTATCCCTAATATGGGGTTTAATAATGGCGACAGTGTAAATAGTGATAATTAACTTTATTAAAATATAAAGTATTAGCGACTTTTATGCGCCTACATCATGATGAGTTCTAATAAACTATATTCTTCATTCTTATTTTTAACCCTTAGCGATGGAGTTCTTATTTTTCATATTTAAATGGGACCAAACGATAGGTAAACCTACGTTTCAAATAATAAAGAATTTTCTATATCGTTTCATAAATGCCAAAGTTCTAGGCCAACAAACAGTAAAAAACAATACAACTGAATTGAGAAATTCCTCCTGTTTGTCGGTCTCCTCTTTCCACGACACGAATATGTGGCCAGGACCTTATTAAGAGTTTAATCCGAGAAAATTTTGTATGGTACTCATTACCTACAATTTACAACAAACCCCTCGCTCTACTATCTCATACATTATTCTAAAAATGTCTTCTTCGATTAAATCAAATTATGCAAATAGATGGGAGGACTCACAATACAGGTCGTAACATACGGGTCCAGTAACCGGGTTGGGATAAAGATACTCTCGCAAGATTTAGGTCGGCGATATTTTACCAACACGTGTGAACCGTCTGTGTTGTGAATAATTTTATATTTTACTTTTGGCGATAAATAAATCGTTTCGAAATTAGGACGAAATGGTTCACTTTTTGGGTAGACGTTTTTGAATCAAACTGTTACTTTTGCTGTTATATCATTATTATTATTATATATTCAAGGGCCGCAACGCACTTGTGACTTTTGAGTTGCGGGTGTCCATGAGCGGCGGTAGTTGCTTACCATCAGATGACCCGTCTGCTCGTTTGCCCCCCTTATGGCATAAAAAAAATGTATATAAGTACATTTTATAATTTTCATCGAAGTCAAATACGTATAGACATATACATGTGTTTATTGTAGAAAAAAGTTACAAATAAGGTATACCGGGGTTTCCCCGCTGCTTTTCTCCTCACTTAAATTCAGGGAAAGTACCTCAATAAAAACTACAGGCAAATATTTTTTGCTGTTTATAGACTCAGCAATCTGAGAGTGAGAGTGATAGTCTAGTTTTGTTATTGTTTTTCTGATTTTGAGATAAGTAACTAAGGACAGTCAGACACTCCGATTGCCATTATCTTAATTAATGGTTAATTTTGTTCAATTCTGTTAAAAGTTTACTCCAAATTCTCAATAACTCATTGGCAACGACTTAAAAAGGTTAGTTGGTGATAACCTGTTGAATGTTACAGTTACGAGTGGTTCACATACTTGAAAACACTAAGTATACCAATTTGTTAACACTTGAACTCTCTTGTACGAAGTACTCATTATAATAGGATATTTGCCTGTGTTTAAGATAATTTGTTTAATTGTCCTTATGAAATGAAGTGTGACATAATACTGTAAAAAACTATATTCGTATTCTCAAGTTTTTATTTTCAAAGTAAATGATTTGGCAATAACTATATGTGACGTCATAACTCATTATTTTTAAATAAGGTAATTAAGGAAGGAATTAAGGGTTTGGTCTTTGGTTTGGGCTCCCGCAACCTCAGTTATTCCGTGAAAAGCAATGAAAGAATTTCTGAGAACCAGGTTTCTGTGAAGCCGTAGTATCACTCCGGCCACCTCCGACCCATTTGTACTAGACATAGAAATTATTGTTATTTTTAAATCATATTCAGTTGGTGAAATGATTGGTTATAGACACAGCGATTTCACATGTGATTGTGATTTCGTCATAGACTAAGATAAATGGCATTAAAATGAAACAAAAATCTATTTTTAGATTTAAACCTTTCGCGAGTCTTGCGCTATCGTAATAATAATAATGTAAGTAGCAGTGGTTTTTTAAGGCAGTCAGAGGTGGAATGATATGATTTATATATCATATGATTTATCACATGCGATTGCTATTTTATGCCATTCCTAATTTGTGCCGACGCATGACTTACATGAACAAAGGTCAGTTATAAAATTCAGATCCAGCCATTATTCATTGCAAGTAGAAAACCATTTATTGAAGTATTTGTCCAACACGGCTACCTAACCTGTATTTCTTTTATAAATAGAAATACTGTACCGGTTAAGAATGAGATCGTAATTGGTGTTGCGTGCTGATGGACACTTGCAGCCTAGGATGTAAAGGATTTACTTAATATTAGGGTATTTGGCATCAAGTATACCTTCCTAGTAAAGCAGCATAATATTTTAGTAGAATAAGAAATGCTTGTAGAAAAAATTATGCAGTATTAGCAAATATTTTGTCTTTATTACCATAAGGCCCTTTACTCCATGTTGGCAACGAACAGTGTAGAACAACAAACTTTACAAATGGATCTTCAACCATTTTTGCCATTAATGTGTTTGTTTGTTGCAGTAATTTTTAACTCAAGGACTATATTTTATTGAAACTAATATTGTAACAGGGGCTAATAAAATATTTTTACTTCTTGTTTCTTACTGATTTACAAAGAATCAAGTGTAAAATCATACGCTACAGGAAAGTGAAAAACTGTTCTAATAAATAAAAAGTAAGAAATCATTTTAAGAAGCCGGGGTCCACACTTTATAATTATATTATCTTTTATTTTGAAAATATAATTAAGCTACACCTTTTAACTATCACTAAACTTGTCTAATAGGGAAACAAACATTTGCAATACTAACTTAAACGACAACCGTTGCTAAGAATAGCCTCCGGGACCGTTCTTCTGACCTTCATACATAATGTATATGATAATTAGAAATTAAAAACAAAAATTTATGAAATTAGTTTGAATGAAGCTTGAACGAAGTTACAATTTCTAATTAGGTATAAAACTATCTAAACTTACTTAAAGATAAATAAATTAGCTGCAGGTCGCCTTGTCTTTTTTGAAATAATACCTAGCTTTTTTATTAATACCTATGTACAAAATTATCCGTGTCATCGGCCATTTAATGATGTTCATCAAAATTAGGAATTGGAAACGATGATGTGATATCGACGATGATTATGTTTTCATGCTCACTAATAATATTTTATTGTAGAAACTACATCCATTTAAAGAACCAGTTACCTATATAAGGCATTTTAATCATCTCTTCAATGAGTCAGGACTCTGAGCTCACTCTGACATCAACAATTGGCAGTGCACGAAAAGATTTCACTGCAGTAACCTTTCAAACGAGCGTAGGCGATTGTCTGCTCTACAATTTGTTGTACAATTACGTCACTGGTCAGTACATAGTACTGACAGCCAGTTGAGAACCAGATGATCACGCGAGATGCACCTTCAGGCGTTGAATGAGTTACATGAACGCGAGCACCTTTTCTGAATTGTGCGTAATTGTCGCGTGCGAAATGCAACAACGCTAAAGGCTTCTTCCGCGTTCAGATTTTCCGCCAAATTGAAAAGGCATCAATCAAGTTATATGCAGCTTGACGGATGAATACATAAACGAACTTGCATGAGTCAGGCGAGCTTACAAAGTCAAACAACACCCCCGTAGCGGCCGTAGCGACCGTCCCCTGGCTCTACGGTACTCTCTCGGTGAGGAACAACGTCAGTGTAGCCCGCGCGACGACGCAGAGCACACGCACCGACCAAACACTTCTCACAGAGTGCGATGTGAATTACACCTTCCGTGACTACGTACCGATTTGATATTCAAATTGGACATTTCAAATAAGTCGTCAGGAGTGTATTGTATTGTAATGAAGCGGCGCAGAAAATCGACAGTCCCTGGACCCTTTTAGCTATTGGACAAACAGTTCCGTGTGATGAGTTATGGAGTTTGTATAGTGCTGTAGTCGATTTTATCAGTGAAGTGACTGACCAGTGATGAAGAGTTAGACCACCGGCCCCGACAGCCAGCAAAATTAATTCTTACACGGAACTCACCTGCGCGGTGTCGCCCCGGGGGGCGCGCCGCCGACAGTTCGTCAAGGGTTGGAAGAAGACCATGGGGGTCATTTCGAAAACCTTTGGCGTCGTCTTCAGTCTGTAAGTTATCCTAAATCTAGCATTGTAAGAAATCTAGCATTATAACTTTATATTCGTATAATTACTTCTTTTAATGGAGAAAGTGACTAAATTCTGGAAATGTTTTTATCACACCAATTTATCATATACGTAAGTGGACTAGAAAAATAGTGGCAATAAAAGCCCATTATCCGCGCTCGGTACGTCTACTTTGAGTGCGTCGCACGGTGCGCTTGCGCAAGTGTTCCTATTCGCACGTTCGCTGGCGTCGTAAAGATGCGTACTGTTTAGATGCGCGCCTAATGAAAGATGTTCAATTATAACGCGTTCATTCATATCTACGTGTTATTATCTGCCTATCTCAGGCGATGCGTCTATCAGAAGAGTTATGCAAAAACTTAAATATACCTTAATTCTACCGGTGTCTTGGCTATTCATCATTGTTAATTGTAAACGCCTATTCTCACTGCTTACGTTTTGACAAACTTTCCCTTATAATTTGCTACTTTTATAAGCTTGTTTTGACTTTTACTTTTATTTTTAAATAAACAGAATTTACTTTACAATTTCGACAAATTCTATTCAAAGTTTTGAATAAAGAACTCATAGTTTTTTTTATTATATTTACGTTATGGACTTGCACTTTTTATGTGTTCTTATCTATTCCAATATCGGACGTAGTCTTAAGCTATAGGTATTTGAAAATGGTATTCCATATATCGTGAGCAATTACTCCACAAAGTAACACAACACAAACTTAAAAAACTGATTATGGTATAATTGCAAAGTATTCTTAAGAGATATGAGTTAACAGAAGACCTCCAGTCACGGAATGCTGGTGATGATATGATTTCGACTATAATAAGACCAATTTAGTTATTAAAATAAGATTTTATAAGTACCAATTTAATCTATGTTTATTCCAAAAAACATAACATATATTTTATAACCTTACATAACTAATAGTTTTGTTTTTTTTTTTTAATCCAGCGCATTAATGTTTGACTTTGACTGCACGGATGGCGTAGTAGTAAGCGGTCGCGACGCCGCTTACTACTACGGCGAGTGTTGTGGGTTCAAACCCCACATGGGACGACACTTTGTGTGATCCAGAAATTGTTGTTCTAAGTCTGGTAAAGTCCCCCGCGACACAGGAGATATTCCTAATGCGGGAGTTATCTTTAAAAAAAAAACTAAATTTAGACCTCAATTTATCTACAAAGACGTCGTAGGGGAATCAAAAAGATCGTAAAAGCTTCGAGACCAGCATCATATAGCTGTCTTGGCTTTTTTGCTAAATTTAGCGGGTGTTAAATGAGATTTTACACTTTCTGACACCTAGGTCAAGTTTAAAAGATTTCCTGTTAAGTAGTCAATTAAAGTCACAAGTTCTTAATGTTTATTTAACTTGTTTCTTATAAAATAGTTCAAAGTGTGTGTGTATGTTCAAACGGTGACAGTATTATCGGCCCTACGAGGCTCAAAGTAAGTGATCAAACCAGAATGTCTCTGTGTTTCCGCTCGACCTATTTTCAATCAAACAAACTCAATAACAGTGACCATTTTACGATTTATATTATACAACGTCTTGTTTTTTAATGCAAGGCAAGTCTCATGTTTCTGATATGCTAAATATCTAGTAATTTCGCGAAGTACCCAATTATTATGACGTGACAGTGTTGCAGTTAATGCAATATTTAAAATTAATAGGCCAAAGTGCCGGAAATGCGGTAACTGCTGCGCTCGTATCTCGATCAGCTATATTGCTTTAGATTTATCTTTGTCTAAAATTTTTGTTGGTAATTACTATACTGCCTTCAAAGGGGTTCTTGCGAAACGTAATAATTTTCTATACAATTTAAGATATGACTAATGTGAATACAAATTAGTATCAAAAGACAGCTGCCTTAATATATTCAATACAAGACCAAAACTATACTTATAAAGAAAAAGTTTAAATGATATCTAGCTAAAACTGCAGAAAGTACGATAAATTTTATTTATTCACATTCTATTTACAACAAAATACTTATAGGCCCCCATACACACTTTGAACGGAAGTAAAGTCGCCAGGTATAGGATACCAAGTTGTTCAAGGTTTGATACTTTGATAAATGTCTTATGACATGAAGAATTATTAACAAAAGAAAGTAAAAACAAAATGTCAGATATACACAGTCTGTTATAGAAAGGTTTAGTTATATTTTAGGATCGAAAAGTGGACTTTAGGGTAAAATAGTAGGTTTTAGTAAACTTCGTGATTTTAAATACAGAAATCTTAACGGAAAAGTAAAAAAAATGATTTGTTTAGGAGTGATAAAGCTAATATTTCGTTGAGAAAAATTTACTATGGACATTTACCTATCAACCAGTGATGTTGATGAAATATCAAGATTTTGCCGGAACTGCATAAAAAATATATTTGAAGGTGAAAAAATCCCATTACTAAAAGTTCAAAAATTTATATCAACACCTGGGAAACATTTTTGGAAAAAAAAAACTATACTTAATAATTTATCTGTTTTTTCCATAAAGCTTTTATAATTCGACCATACCATTCTGTAACAGCCTGTATACTGTTGACTGGTTTGGTTTTTAGTTTTAAAACACGATGCCCTAATTTCTATGATCAGTATTTCCTCTCACAACGAAATCACCACAAATAAATATCCTGCTTCGGCTTAATGATCGTGAGAATACGGATTTTAAAGTTTAAGACAAGTTAAATATAAAATAAATAAAAGTGAGTAATGATTATTGATCGAAAAGAGACAGCTGAATGGACTAATGAAGGAAACAGCCTTCTTTGAAAATTATAATTGTATTCGATTGGAAATTATAGACAATTATAAACATATATGGGTGTTATTACTATACGTATAGTTGGGAGTGCGTAAACTGAAATACACTTACCAACATATTATGTGAATTTTGTTTCTTATAAAAGTTTTTGTAATCGGGGTCATTACTGGTACTTTTGTTTACACCTCCAGCTAAGCTAAATGCTTGTGCTAGGAGTGGCTTCGAATCCATAACCACTAGATTTCAAGTCCGACGCTCTGGCTATTGCGCTACCGCAGATTTGATCCCACATTGTAGTTGTGAAATAATTTTCTTTAAGCTTTTTGCCTTTGCTTTTCTACCACAAAGTTTTTTTTGCTTATAATTGCAACGAAAACTAAAGACAACATACTAGTTACTAAAAAACCAAATATCAGTGAAAGTTTTTAAACTTACAAGGCGACAAATTATAAATATATCCAGAATCTATTAAAGTAATTGTTAAAATTTAATCTCGGCCATTGTCAGTTTGCCCTAGAATAGCAAGTTGGGCATTACACAGATCTTTACGTTCCGTATTTTTGGGTACCCGCGGCAGTCGTCAAAGGTAGCATGGAACTTAAATAGGCCATTTGTTAAGACCCGGATAACAGTTTCAAAAACATCTATACAACTATTTTCTTTCTATTATATCTGCTTGTATTCATCTACTTTTACCTTATAACAAAAAAAGTTTGATAAAAAGTTTAATATAAATTTAGAAATAAATTATGTATTCGATGTTTCGCTAATATTTATAATACAACACGTGCTTATGAAGAGATTTGATGTGCCGTGAAATTGGGCTGGTTGCCAATTCTAAACAAGTTTGAAATTGAGGAAATGCCTTGACTTTTGCATCATACTTATTGACGGGTTCGGATACATTTCAATTTATATCCCTAGGTTTATCTGCAGATTACTATTCTGTTTTATTTTCAGGTCGTGAATGATCCGCATTCAATGGATTTGTAACTGCTTATCTGAGCTCATTCCTTATTCATATATTTGCACTCCTTTTCTTTTGTCAACACAGTCTACTCGTATGTTATCAGTACTTTAAATCAAACTAATTTTGTATTACCCTCATTAGATAACTATCGTTTGACATACAGTGTCGTTTGAGTAGATATTTATCTTTTGAATTGTATTGGCACACATTCTACAATATATCTTATCCATAAAAACAAACAAAACTTAAAATATTGCCTGTTATCCATGTAGAAACAAACTTTATTAATGTGAATAATCGGCGTTAATCGCTTTTAAATTAACAAAGGGACACAAGTTTTACGATATGTCGTAAATTGTGTGCTTTTTACGCGTCTGTGTAGTGGCGTTCTCCTATAGAGCTGGTTGTGGGTTGTGGTGCACCAATCAAATCGTCGTAAAGCGTAAAATGGTTTCGGTCGTAATCTACTTGATATGGGAACTATCATTCTCTAAGATGGACCTGATACACAACAGATAAACGGTATTGTCTAACCGACATTTGCCAAGCGATTATCGATTTTACAGCGTTGAAATAATGTTCGTGAAGAATTGATGGTATCTTGTCCTTTTGAACATTTTGACTGTGTTAGTGTCGGTTCTTGCGTTTGGACAAATACCGTGATATAGATTATACCGCGTGTGGAGAATCAGACATTCTCATGCTCATTGTTTTAATAACAATGTGCACATTTTTCGTTTCTTAGCACATATGCGTTTGAACGAAAGTTTTGTTTCGCAACAAGTTTTTAAAATAACATTTATTACTGCTTGTGGAGTATACGTCTTTCGTCTCTGTATCGAGTCAAATATGTAGTTAAATTTTAGCAAAGTCTTCATAATTAATGGTCAATAACCAATAAAAATATCCGCACGTTTTCAACAAAACCCCAACTACCATGACGATATTATCAATGCCTACTTTTCAGCACACTTAACTTGGTTTGCAAAATTGCAAACTTCAGGAAAATTGCAAAACAAGACAAATAAATGTCACACATGAGATTTTTTTGGTCCTTTTTTCGTTTGTTTCCCCCTTTTCATTTACAAAATACAAAAAAAAAATGTGCGCGGAATTATTTGCGTTTCAATTAAACGTCGCTGCAGTATAATGTTACCAAGGGGTTTTTTTTTCAATGTCGCCGTGCGTAACGAAAGGGCTGCCGGACACTGGGAGCGGTCGGCTGGAATAGCATTGTAGGACGAGTATAACTGGTAATGTACTCGTCAAGGACTGGATTGTTAGCAACTACAATGGATTTATCATAGTTTTTGTAGTTAAGACCCGGCCGCCACTTTGAGTCCTAAAATAGCCACATAATTTTGTCCTATGATTTGCTCTGTGCGCTGGAAGAGATGTTTAGTTACAAGCACGTCGATTTTGCCTTATAAAGAGTAGGTATTTAATATTGTTAAGCGTAGTGAAACTATTTTTACAACTAAGTTGACAAATTAGAATAGTATTCTAGCAGTAAGAAAGCAGTTCTCGTTGCCGACTATTTATCCACTAGCAAAAACACCGGGTGATGCTCCCCTCAACAATTTACAACTGGACGTATCAGCAGAAATACAACACACCATTAATGCGCATTAACATGACCGCTATATATGCGTATAACTTGTCATAGTAC